TGCTATCGTTCGATCGGATCTATGGTCTGTTGCCGACCGTGTCTGGAAACTTTATGTGTTCAGATTTCTAAACGTTTAATTACGGTATTAGAACTGACATATAACTTTTTTAGAGTGATAGGGAGATTTATACGTCCATCGTAAAATAAAACCTTTCCTATCTATATTCTCGTCACCAAACACTAAACGTCTGATTTGGTGTATAAATCGACATGGTGAGAAATCGAAGCGGATTAGGAAATGCTAATGGAAACCAACAGCCACGAGTGATTGAAGGTGTGCCAGAGGTAGCAACTGCACCTGAGCCAATCACAATGGAAGGAGTCCAAGCAATGATCCGTGCAATGATGGTCGAACAAAGGGAAGAGACGAGGCATATGTTACAAAACAACAGGGATGAACCTACTATGCCTGTTGAACAGCCTGAACGGAATGAGGTTCAGTCAGAAGAAGGAAACTATAGTAGAACCGTTGGCCAAGCTGAACTGCCAGTGGTTGGAAGAAATAACCAAGATGAAGGGATTGACAGGGATGGGTGTATGTATAAGAACTTTTTGGGTGCCAAGCCACCAAGTCTTTCTGGGAGCCCGAAGCCAGTAGAGATCATGGACTGGATCTCCGAAATTGAGATGGTTTTTGAAAATTGCAACTGCAGTAACAAGCAGAAAACTGTCTTTGCAGTCATACAACTAAAGACCAGAGTTTTAAGTTGGTGGAAGTTGTTGGCAAATATAATGCCACGAGCAGAAGCCATACGGATGTCTTGGGAAGCATTCATGGAGCAGTTGAAAATGCAATACTGCTCAGAGATAGATCTGATAGACCTAAACAACGAGTTTCAGAACTTGAAGAAAGGGAAGATGAGTGTTGATGAGTATGCCACCACATTCACTGAGAAGATGAAGCTATTCCCCTACTTGGTGCCTACTGAACTCTCCAAGATAGATAGGTTTGCTAACGGATTTCCAACAGACTTTGGCCTAACGGTTAAAATGACAACTACTTTGAAGATAGCCGTTAGAGCAGCCAGGAATGTTGAGACCCAGATAAGGGAAAAAAGTCTGGAGAGAGCTGAAGTTGGCGAGAAGAGGAAGTTTGAGGAAACTCCAAGATCCGACAAGAAAAATATGTTCCCAAAGTCTGACCTCAACAACAAGAGGTATGAGGATAACAATGAAGAAAAGCGGTGTGACAAGTGTAGAAGGAAACACATTGGGAGATGCTCTAAAGAGGTGACATGCTTCAAATGTGGGAAGACTTGGGGACTTATAATGGTCTAGAAACGTACTCAAGGTTGTGAGAATATTTTTTTGGTGGAACCAAGCTCAAAGATGCATTCTTCTTCAAAATACCACCAAAATACACAAGAACTCAAAGATTAGCAATGGAGGCTAGGGTTTCCTCTTGGAGGCTGAGGGAAAGTGAATGAGGCTGATAGTGGGCAACCTTAGTCATCACATTCCCTTAAATAGGGCTCAAACTTTGGATTAGGGTTTGTCATTAAACACCGTCCACGCCATGACGATATATGCCACGCCGTGGCGCTAGCTTAACGCCCATGAAAACTCTAGTCTTGGCCACACCGTGGGACTCCATCACCACGTCGTAGCCACCAAAGATCCAACAACCAAATTATTAAAATTACTTAAAAAGGAACATACCCGAAACTTTGTGTTACAGAACTCGAGTAGAAACTTTTATTTTCTAAAGAAGTTGCATTATGCAACAAGTAAGTCCATGTTAATCCTCGTATGTTCTCCAAAATATTAATATAATATCTCGACATTTGATGCTCTTTTTAAGGAACATAAAGATGGCTTTATCTAATATATAATTTCAAAAGAATTTTAGTGCATGGCATAAAATACACATGATTTACTTATGTCTTCTTGTTGCTTAGGTCTTAAAGGTTGTTATGTAGATAATAGTATTTTTTTAGGGATAATGATTTTTTAACAACTACACAATTTATAGCTTTATACTTAAAAAGTGTTTAAAAAAACAAATGAGATAATTATAAATCTTACCAACAATAGAATGTTATTTTTTTTTTACTGATATAAGAAATGTATTATTAATGATAAATTACTTGAAATATGAGTAATGTTATTTAAATAATAGATTTTTTTTTCAATCTATTAAATTTTATATTTCATTCTACAGTATGATCACTTTATCATCAATCTTGGTTCGAACAACATTGCTTACGTTTCAAACCATTTTACTTATTAATTTAAAATAACAATGATATAGTTACAGTTGCAGAAAAACATCGAAATTTATATATAAATAATTGTTTCATGTCTATGGTTAATGATTATGTGTTTTTTATAGTCTATATTTTATTTTATTTTGTTAACCCTAAAATACACATGTTATAACCTAGTCTTTTATATACACTTATATACACTTAAATTAATGCTATACCACATAAAACCATAAAGATAATTATGCTCTCACTATATTTCTTGACAATAAAATGTTTATCGGTGTTTTCAACAAAATCATATTTTTGAGCATTTTCATTCAAATGAAAGATATCAATTTTGGATGTAATATTTTTTAGCAAAGGTTTTATCATGAAAGGAAAACCTATATTAAATTCTCATATCATCCTTACTCATCATGTTTTCTAAACTTTTAAGATATACATTTTAAATTAGAAAAATACTCAAAAGACTATTTTTATTTTTGTTGTATAGAAATCATAGGAATTCTTTTGTTTTATAGAAAACAATATCTAACTTTATCAACTCAATCACCTTTATTGTAACATTAATTACTAGGGCCGTAAACAAACCGAACGTTCAGCGAATCGTTCATAAATCGTTCGACGGAAAATTAGTTTATGTTTGTTTATTTAATAAATGAAAGAATAAGAACACAAGTTCTTCTTCGTTTAGTTAAATGAACGAACATGAACAATTGTCTTGTTCATTCATTTATGTTCGTGAACTTTCGTTAATGTTGTTCGATTACGTTCGTTTAGGTTTATGTATGTTCATATATATATATATATATATATATATATATATATATATATATATATGCAATTGTTTTCTATTACATTACTATATTATATATTTGTTTATGTTCACATATGTCCACTTGTGTTTATTTTTGTTCGTTTATGTTTGTTTAGCATGTTCACGAACATGAACAATGTAATTTGCTAAAAGAACAAACATGAATAAAAAAACTTATTTGTTTATCAATTCGTGTTCATTTGTTTTTCTTTTTAAAAACCTATTTTATATATATATATATATATATATATATATATATATATATTATATATTAAATCACATGGGAAGTTTCAACAGGAAACTTTCCATGTTTCTAATTTTAACATTATATTTTTACTTTTTCTTAATTTTGCCACTAAAGTTTCAACAAACTTTTCCTTTTTATAATTTTGCCCATTTATTTTTACTTCTTCATATTTTTGCCACTAAACATTCACTTTTACTTCTTTAAAACCATTTTTCTTTATTTTTTTATAATTTTACCACTTTATTTTTACTTTTTTATAATTTTGCCACTAAAGTTTCAACAAACGTTTCCTCTTTATAGTTTTGGTACTTTATTTTTACTAATTTTGCCACTAAAGTTTCAACAAACATTTCATCTTTATAATTTTGGCACTTTATTTTTACTTTTTTATATTTTTGCCACTAAACTTTCACTCGTGCAACGTACGGGTCTTTTCCTAGTTGTATATCAAATATGGTGGGTTAATTTTAGTTCTACAAAAAAGCTAAGTGATTCATGTAAAAGGAACTACATCTTATTAAACGTTTGTTTCTCATTTGTAAACAAAATCTGTTGTAGTCTAGTTGGTTAGGATACTTGGCTCTCACCCGAGAGACCCGGGTCCAAGTCCCGGCAACGGAAATAATTTTTATTATCCATTATTTTTTTTGATTTCCAATCTTAATTTTACTGCAGAATTTTAGCCAAAACCCTAATCTTTTCCAAGTCATTTTGACGATTCACTTCGCAATTTCAATCATCTTCTCCGACCTCTGCTTTCAGTTGTCTTGGTGATTGATCTGTTCTTCTCTCCTCCGACGCCAAACGGTAACTTTTTCTCTACCCTCTTCGGTTTAACGTACGTGCCTGTGCTTCATAATTGTATGATTTCTATTCACGATTGAGAAATTTCAAAAGGTACTTATGAAACACCTATAGCTATTATTTCTGTTGTGTGATTGGATGAGATTATTTTTGCTCTGAAATTAAATTCCATCATAATTTTGTCTGAGATATACGAAGAACATGACTCAGTTTATATGGATTTCTATCAAGGAATAACCGTGTCTGAAGCAGCAAAACACGAAAACCATTAGGTTTTGAAGTTCGAAAACTTCATTGAAGATAGATTGTTCTTTTGTTTGGAACAGATGGAGTATAAATGATAAATCTAAGAACAGTGACAATGTCATTGCTTAAAATATGTAAATTGTTCAGTGGCCATTCACCTATTTAGGACATGAACTTGATATTATTGAAGTATATGTGACATATACGATTCTTAGTTTGCATTTACTAATTTACTTTATCTAGTTAATTAGCATCATTGTTCTAACAAGTGATTAATGAGCCACACAGTTGAGTGTCTTTATAGTGCTTAATCACCTAAGAGGCTAAGAACAACTCATATAAATGGACATGATAGAATTATTTTCAGATTATGGAAACATATAGGAATTAAGATTCATATGCCATATTGTCTGATACAGTTATAATTTTAGGTAACTAGCTTCATAAATTTTAGGATACAAAATTACAAAGATAGAAAATTTGGAAGATTCTGTCATGTTTAAGGAGGGCGTTCATGCCAAACACTGTTCAGTTTTGTCATAGGCCTTATGGTAATATGATATATTTGTACTGTTGTACTAATATTGGTATTTAACAAGATTGGCTTCATTGATTATCATGTCAGAAACGATACTATTATCCCTCATAAGGCTAGTTTTTACTAGTGAGTCGAGATTATGGAGGATAATGACGAAACTGCCCTTGGTCTACAAAATGTTGACTCCAAACAAAATCAGGATCAAGATGAACTCTCTGCTGAAGATTTAGCCTGGGTGAACTCCTGTCTGATTGAAGATCCTGAAATATCAAAAACTAATATTGATTCTCTAAAAGAAGCTTTACTCAGTATTCTCGATCATCATTCTGAGATCTTCAGCCCTTATGAAAACGAACTGGAACTAGACAACTCAAATGACATAATTGACCCCGAGACTTCACCTTCTCCAACAGAGGAAGTAACAGATGCCAACGGGGATTCTGGGGATGAAAGTTCTGATGTTTTATCCCCATTAAATCATCCTTTTCTTCCGAATTTTAATGATGAGATGATGAAGATTGAGTATTCCGATTCTGATTCCGGTTCCGATTCCGATTTGGGTTTCCGGGTGTCAGAATTAGTGATGGAACCGGAATCGGAGGATATTTTTAAGGTTTGGGAATTGGATATTCCGGTTGAAGAAGATGAACTTGTTAAAGAGTTGAAGGAGGCTCTTTCTGAGAACGATGCTACTACTAGAGTGCCGAGAATGAAAAGTTTTAAAATAGAGTCACTTGATAGTCTTGTTGAGAGCATTGCAGATCTTTCTTTGAAGTAAAATGTGTTGTTTGTTTATTAGTTTTAGAACAAATGTTAGCTACTTAAAGTATCATATTTATGCAAATATTTGTGTTTCTTATTCTTTGTCACTTCTGTTTTATCTATTTTATATTAAATGGTTAATGATGGTATAACTTCAAGGCAAAAGCTGATCATGAGTTTATAATTTGGTTTTTTCTTTAATTTATAATAATCAATTCGAAGACATATGTCCAGGATGTTTGAGCATTGATGTATGTCTTCTCGTGATTTTTTTTGGAAGCGCAAAAATCTGTTAAACTAGCAAGATGTTAGAAAAAAGAGTTATTGCAATACAATACAGAGATGGTCATAATAAGGTTATAGCCAAATAACTCAATCATGTTTAAGCTTGGAGCTTCTATCAGTAATACAAAAGAACGATTATGCAACGATCTTATGAAAAGGATATGCTTTTCTATGTTTAATCGCTCCAAAAACCATATTGTTACGAAAAAGCTAAAGCAAACAAGTAGTTGTTCAAGATAATCACACCCAAACTTCTTATTTGCGTGGAAGTGACTTTCACTTGATCTGCCCAAGCATTTCAATACGAAATGGAAGAGTCACTTGTGCAAAAAATGATCATCCGTCTCATGTTCGACAAGTAAATCAACCTCGATCCCTCTTTTATCCAAGTTATTTCTAATCGACACCTTGCTTAAAGATAATTTCTAAGCCATTAAACAAGTAATTTCCACATCTCATATATACAACACAAGTAGGGTGACAAAAAACTGACACATACACACTAACCTGATACGAAATAAACGAGGTTGGGTAAGATATTTCAACTCGTTTGTTTACGGGTTGACAGCGTATGACTCGGAAATTATACGAGTAAGGTTGATGTTAAGAATTTCAACTCGAAAATGATATGTTTATTTATATGCAAGTCTTTTTTTTTTTTGAATTTTTTAGGTAATGTAGAAAGAACCAAAAACCAATATCATAAGTAAAAGAAAAACTTTGGTTTAAGTCATTTGTAGTGTGGGAACGACTTTCATTTTCAGTTTTTCGTTATTTCCCAAACTACATAGTCCTCTCGACCACTTTTAGCTTTTGCCTCCCCAACTCCTACTCTTTTAATTTTGCCCTCTAAACTTATTGTTATTAGTTATTCCACCTCCCAACTACTAATTTTTCCAGTTTTTTATTTTTTCCTTTCTGATTGCGTAATTCTTACTCTTTCAACATGTTTTGTGTTTCAACCTCATATGATGCAACATATTTCAAGGTCTAACCCTAACACCGAAAATAAATAGATTGACACGATACAACATAATTATTAAACGGATCGGGTTAGATGTAACATGATGAGATGTTAACGTAGGAATTTTGAAAAATAATGATTTATTGGATGACTTAAATGCCCTTGACCATGTATTAGGTAAAACGGCGACGTATCCGTGATCTGGTCTGCGCCTCCGGTCGTATAAACTCACAGTGGAGACGCAAATCGTGTGTGTGTGTGTTTGTGTGAGAGAATCAGTGATGAGCGGAGCAGCGTCGTATCTGGCGAGGAGGGCAGCGCAGAGGGAGAAAGTCAGAATCCTCTACAGACGTGCCCTCAAAGACACTCTCAATTGGGCCGTTCACCGCCATCTCTTTTACCCCGATGTATTTTCCCTTCAATCTCTTAGGGTTTTCAACTCTTAGATTCGTTTCGATTTTCATCATGTATGTCTTTGATTTGGTTTAATCATTCAGATTATGAATTTTTTCAGGCCGATGCACTTCGTGAGAGATTCGATGCGAACAAGAACGTGGTTCGTTTCTCCTGCCTCTTGTTATACTTTAAATTTCCCCTTTTTTGTTTGAATTTGAGTTATCGAATTAGCCAACGATGTTTCTTTGCTCTCTTTCTCATAAAACCCTAATATGCCAAAAAAGAGCAAAAATGTTTGCTAGAGCTAGCAAGTCTTTTGCATTTACATCCAAGATGTTTACAAAACCGCTCATTCTTGGAAAATGCTTTCCTTTATTTTGGTATTAGAGCAAGAATGAATGCTAGTTTGCAACTGTATTAAATCACTCTTGGAATAGGTCGTTGAAAGTGTATCTCATTAGTTCTTTACCTGTATGGATGTTGTATTGTGCTGAAATATTCCATTTGTGGCTATAATGATTAACACCAGGGACATGATTTTTGTGTGATCTAGAGTTGTATATTGAACAAAGCATTAGTTCCTTGCTTCACAAATTTCCTCTTGAAGGCAATCTAAAATAATGGATTCTCTTAGTTGTATGTTCAAATATCCATTGCATTTGCAGTTCAAAATTTCCCTATGTTTATGGTTAAAATGTTCCTGCTTGAGTTGTGGCTACAAATGTTCAAATTAGAATTGTGGTAATCATCTGATATGCACTGTGTGTGTGTGTGTTTGCAGGAAGATATTGAAACAATTGATAGAATGATTGCTGATGGTGAGGCACAGTACAATAAGTGGCGACACCCTGATCCTTACATTGGTAAGCCACAGTAAAATCTAAGTTTTTTATTTTATTTTAACTGGATTAAAACCAAATTTATATATATGTATATGCAAATGTCACTTCTTTTCTCATTTTTCTTTTTGTCCCACTCCCAATTTTTTACAGTTCCATGGGCTCCTGGTGGCAGCAAGTTTACTCGCAACCCTACACCACCTTCTGGGGTAATAATATAATCTTCTGCTTCTTTTATGATTTTACATGTAATTTTGTATGTGTCTTTATGCTTATGTTGTTCATTTTTGTGGTTATTGTAGATTGAGATTGTGTATGATTATGGTCGAGAGGATCACATTTGAATCTAATATGGCTCCATGGCAATAAATCAAGGTTAATTCCCATTACCCAGTTCATCATTTTATTAATTATGATTGTTATAATAATAGTCGAGTGGCTTATTATTATTATAGTTGTTTTGGTTAATATTGTATTTTGTTGTTGGCAGGTGGTTTGAGTAGCAAGTGTTTTGTGTGACTTTTTGTCATCAAAGACAGACATAAGACATTGGTATGAATTGTTTTAATGAATGTGTTTTGATTGGGGCATGAATGTTGATGAAAACTTTCTCCTTTCATTTCATGGCTCTTTGCAGTATTTCTTTTTTCTTTTGGGGGAACTTTTATGCACGACTTTTATACTTGTCTGTTATCATTATTATGAATAAGTTGCTGATACTGATTTTTTAAAATACCAACTTTATTTCTTTTCCATGTAAATGCCCCTCGATCTTCATTAATTATATAAATAGAAAATATGCAACGAAATAGATTGAGTGCATATCTTCTGTGCAATATGGAACACTATTCTTCCTACTTTGCATGGAAACATGCTTTGCAAATTCCCATCAACAATAAGGTACCAATTCACAGGTGATGTTTTTAGTTCTTATACCAATTATATGCAATGAAGTGGATTTTTTTTTCTTCATAAATTGGTAAATTTTCTTATGAAGTTGGAATGTAGGTTTTTCTATTGGATTTCTTTGTTTGTTGTTTTCGGAGTTTTGTATCGGCAATTTGTATTAATTTAGAGAAAAATGATCAAAATTGATATGATTATGGAAAGAATAAACATATAATCCATATTTGAGTATGTAATTAAAAACAAAATACACCAAATACATCTAGCAGTTTTGTCTTTTCTTTCCTGTGAATTGGTACACCTTACTGGCAAAGTAGGAAGAACTGTTTCATATCGTACAGAAGATAAGCCCTCAAACTATTATTCTTACATTTTGAATTAAAAAGACAGAACTCAAACTATTATCAATTGAAATCAGGTTTAAGAAGCAACATGAATATTGATTTTTTGTTGGTATACAAATACAAGATTTATGATATAATCCTCGTTTCATTTGCTTATAAAGTTTAAAAAACGATTAGGATTAATGTTACAAGTAACATAGTAGCTTAACATATGATCCATACGCAGTTTCAACACAAACTCCCCTCCCTTTGTCTTCTTGTCTTCCCCAATTATGAGGCATTGTTGGCCTCCATTCCAAGTTTCCTCTCTTGTCCCATTATTCCATAGATCTTGTTACAAAACCATAAAAAAAAATCAGTAGATGGTTGGTTAGCTTTATTTCACCAATTTGTAAATCATGCATCTAAATAACCACATACTGATTGTTAATTTTCATGCTCAAGTTTGTCAGTTAAATTTTTAAAGCAAAAATACAAATTTTATCATACAAGTAAGTGATTATTAGATAGGATAGGAGGCAACATATTCCATCTTATCTACATGACAATCAGAAGAATCCGGCAAGAGGCCTAAAGGAAAGCTCACTAGTGACTACTTCAAAAGAAAGAATATGCCCATGCATGTAATGATGAGTTGTAGGGTACAATCCGACAATACATATCCCAAGAGCTAAGGACAAAGACCCCTCTCAATTCTCATCACCAATAAGCATGAGTACTCATGTAGGTCATGATGCATTTGGTTGTGGTGAGAATCTGGTAATTTCCCGCCCCATGTTGGGCGTGGGACCCTTTTATCATTAGGAAATAAAGATGATTAGAAAAGCAAATCTAGGTTGGCCTATTTATTTAATTTTGAATTTGATGTTTGGAGGCATGAAAGGTCCGGATGCAAGATGGAAGTTGCAAGTTGAGTCCATTTGTTGTGTAGTGTAGCAAACAGCCAAACACACACTCATTTCCCGGTTGCCACATCTGCTTTTAACAAACAAGAATGGTGAGCATCATGAGTCACCAAACCCCGAAACAAAATACTATTCTATAAGCCAAAATTTTAACTTTGGCCCACCACACCACACCAAAAGAGAATACTCTCATCATGTTAGGACCACATATTTTGTGGCTCATCTCACATTATGCCTTATGCTAAATCCCTTTTCCTTTTCTGTATATTCCAAGATCCCCTGTCAACTAGATGCATCTTCTAACGCGTATCCTAAATTTTATTTTTTAAACACACACATGATACGAATATCCATATAATCCTCTACTCAACACCTCATTTTACTGTTTCTTGACTCTTTCCCATCCATTTCTGGCATTGCAAACCATCGCTTCTTCATCATTTCTTCTTTGTTTCCTCCATTATTATTATTATTATTTAAAATGAAATATAACAGTGGTATACCAAGCTCATATGATGTAGGAGTGGTAAGTATTATACCAGATGACCTTAAATAAACACCGTTAAATCTATGCGCTTTGGTTTTAGGGTTGTTTTTTTTTTACTTAATAGACCAAGTACTTAATATGGATGTTTCTTTTTACTTAATCCAGATTTAATCACCTACCGAGTCACTTTGTTGGAATGTAAAAGGCAAAATTGTCATTTAGTCTTGTATGATACAAACTTAATTAATTGGGGAAAAAGAAACAACCCTTGGTCTTTTTTGTTGTTAAAGGTAGTACTAAAGTTTGACCCTTAACACGCTAATTAAGTCGGCAATTGGGGTATAGATAATGATATATATATATGTGTGTGTGGGGTATGGGTATAGGTTCACAAGCAGCCACCAAAAGAGATCACAAGGTTTTCCAACAATAATTAACTTTAGCCAAAGGGATGGTTACACGACATACAAGTAATAAAAACCACTTGTGCAAGTAAATATAGGAAATGGGAATCAATGGTCACTTTCCACGAATCTTCTTTCCTCACATGGTTGGTACCAATTGCATAATTAAGATAAGAGGTCAAAACAGACGCAACATATTCAAATCTTTCAACAATATATCATCATATGCTTTATGCTTGCTAATCATAAAAGACAAGAAAACATACCTTCCATCAAACATAAAAAGCCTGACCATGTGTATGTATGTATATAATATGCCTCTGCAAGGAAGAATTCATAAGAATCCGTTTATTAAAAAAATAAACAACAGAAGCAAAGAAGAACTTGTTGTATTATTACCATAGAGAATAATAATAGACTACAAGGTGAAGAAAGAGAAGGGGAATTAACAAATCGGGCTACATAAAAAACCCCCCAACTCTTTATCTTCACAAATTTATCAGAAAGGTCACCAGCTCTCTTTTTAAATCTTGTTAACGGATAAAAAGAGAGCAGACCCAAATTAAAGATAACTCTCTACTTTAATTAACTAAAAACAAGAAAAACAAATAAAGTTTGCAGAAACAGAAACAGAAACAGAACGACCTCACTGACAAACACCACCCATCACGATCACGCACCCACATATGACCACTGATCATCATCCTCACCGGAAACCACCTCACCTCCGGTGGTGAAATCCTCATCAGAACAGTAATAGTATCCCTTATTGCCACTTGCAGCAGTTAAACAGCAAGAAGATCCGACACTTAGATAAGGCATGTTGTGGAAAGATTGAGCAATGCCACCAGCAATCATATCACCTTCTTCATGAACATACTCTTCGATTCTGTGTTTAAGGGTTTCAAACATCATCTCTGGTTCATGATGCATTGAACGAAGAACATCACTGCAAGAGGTCCCTGGGACAGCTCTAGTAACAGCAAACCCGAAAGGACCATCACTTTGAGATACACGAATCACACTAGGGCCACCGAATAGATTGTGGACACCCCCCATAGCCTCCTGGTATGCCCCTCCTAAGAACATACCCAGATAGTACTTCATTCCATTCTCTCCTTCTAATTCATGGAGGGGTAAGCTGGATTCACCTCCGATGAATTTATCAATCTTTCCATCACTGTCGCAAGTTAGATCTGATAGAATCCCCTTTTTTGATGGGCAATCGGAAAGTCGGTGGATTGGAAGGATAGGGAAGAGTTGTCCGATGCCCCAGAAATCAGGAATTGAAGTGAAGACAGAAAGATTGACATGATAAGTGCTTACAGGATTGGATACTCCAATTGCCTTCGCAACCAAATCACAGAACCCATCAATAGCAGCTAACTGTTCGATGTCCATTAATCCATCTTTGAATTTCTCGACGCATGTCTGCTTTAGTTGATCGGTGTAAGCCAAACAAGCATCGTACTCGCCTCTCACAGCAGACTGGGACAGATTATTGTAGTCGGAATGAGCGTCCCCAGGGAGCTGCTCGATGAAATGCTGGACGTCGTGAGAGGACATGGTTGGAACTGTATAGTTGCTAGACGAAACTGCCTCGAATATCAGAATTGAATGGTGGGAGACGATGGCACGGCCGCTTTCGCTGCAAATCACAGGATGCTTCACGGAATTCCGGTCACAAACGAATTTTACTGCCTGAACAACCGCCATTGCGTATTCTTCTAAAGTATAAGCAACGGAGACATCAGAATTAGTGGATTTTGAACCATCGTAGTCGATCCCAAGCCCACCACCTATGTCGATAACTTTCATGGAAGCACCAAGGCGGACTAATTCGCTGTAAATCTGGGCGGCTTCACCTACGCCATCAGCAAGCAAGGATGTCGTTGGGATCTGAGAACCGATGTGGAAATGGAGCAATTGGAAGCAATCCAACATGCCACATTGTTCAAGCTTTTTCACAACACGGAGAATTTGCGTCGTAGTGAGACCAAATTTACCCTTTTCGCCGGAAGTCGATCCAAAATGGCCGGAATGTTTAGTCCGCAGCTTAGCACGGACCCCGACGACGGGACGAACGCCTAGCTTTATGCTTATATCAATTACAGAATCCAGCTCTTCCTCTTGTTCGAGAACAATCACGGTGTTTAATGAAAGCTTTCGAGCTATCAAAGCTAGCGAGATATATTCCGCGTCTTTAAAACCATTGCAAATCAGGAGGGATTCGGAGCTACCTTTGCAGAGGCAGCTCATGGCCATAAGAAGCTCAGGTTTGGATCCAGCTTCCAACCCGAACCTGAACGACGATCCAAATTTGACAATGTCCTCGACGACGAATCGGTCCTGGTTGCATTTCACGGGATAAACACCTTGGTAATGAGAGCTGTACCCTTGTGATTTAACGGCGTAATTGAACGCCGATTGAAGACATTCAAGGCGGTCCTTCAGGACATCTGGAAACCGGATGATGAGAGGGAGCGGGAGGTCTAGGCCTCCTATGGATTTGGAGTCGGAGGCCTTCTTCACGACCTTGAGGAGATCTATCTCCTGGTGGTCCATGGTTCGGGAACCGTGTGGACGGACGGTGACGTTACCGGATGTGTTGACGGAGAAGTAAGGGGCTCCCCAGGCGTCAACCTTGTAGAGAGCATTAGAGTGGGATGACGTCCAAGGAGTGACGGATGATACAGATACATCATCCAGAACGGTGTTTGTCGATGGAGGTACGCCGGAGAATGGCTCCGGCGCGGGAAGAGAGCTATCCCAGGCGGTATAGCCGGAAGGAGGAGAAAGAGCGGCCATGGCGGCGTCAACACAAAACGCAAGGGCCGGCATCTCTTCCCCGATCTGCTTGTAAGGGGGTTAAAATGAAAGAATCAAAGAATTGTAAGGGTCGAATTTGGCAAGGTTTGTAAAGGTAGGGGGCTTTACAACCCGCCGAGGCCGGAGCCCCGGCTACCCCCTCAAAAGAAGCAGAAGGAGATCTGAATCAAAGGAGAAACAAACCCTACGCTCCTGATCAACACCGATATCCCCACAATTACCGCTCAGAAGAAGAAATCAACAAATTGAAAGAGAATTTCGAGGTTCAAAAAGAGAGGCGGAAGCAAATCTAATGGATATGCACCGATTCCACCATGCAGATTTTGAAACAGGTAATGAGAACGGAAACCTAACGGCGGCGAGATCAGAGAGAGAAATAGAAATGAGAGAAGTGGGCGAGAATTGCATGTGAGTTGATGGCCGTTTATATAGGGGGCCGTTTATATAGGTTGGCCAGAACTCCACCTTTTATTTATTTTCTTTTTTCATTACTTTTTAATTCCGGAAGTTGGAAGAATTCAAGTAAACGGTAAATAAAAAACACCTCGTATTTATTGGTTAGACGATAATGCCCTTTAAGTATGCTATCCCCCTCCCTCCCTCCCTCCCTCCCTCCCTTCACACACCTTCCTTTAATTTCCTTTCTTACACAATAATAATAATAATAATAATAATAATAATAATAATAATAATAAGTTTAACCTCATTAATTTGTTAAACTGTTAAACCAATAAATGTGTTTAACATAACTTGTGCGTTACATATATTGTCTTCATTACAATATATTTAGGTAACATACATCATATTCATCATGATTTTACTTGATGAATGAAATAGTGGATAAATGAATTAGTTGTTAGTCTTGATGGATGAATTCATATTTATGTATTAATATAGTTGTAAAGAAAAAACAATAAAGGTCTCCTGTATGAGATGTAATTTTGTTTCGCATGACCATATGGTTCATTAATATTGATTGATTTATAATAACTTCGAATGGATCCAAGGGTCTAAAACTTTGTTTAAACATTTAATTTCATACTATTTAACATCATTAAGAAGACCAATTTATGAATTGATGATCTAGTGATCATCTGAATTAACATAAACCTACAATATATCAAAAAAAATGACCATTCGAATGAATTTTCTTTGATGATTTGAACACGAGACACTTGAATGTATCTTCAAAGACAGCTAGCTAGTTTCATTCAAGAATGATGATTTGTACCAAAAGAACAGGAGACACTTGAATGTATATCATCAATTTCGAATTAGATGTATCATAGGGCAATCCAACATTAAAGAACACTAAAAACTTAACTGAAGCTTCACAACTTCATGGATAACAATTTGCATGGGTTTTTCTCAATGGTTTATATGTGAACCGTTATAATCCATTCCCAAAACACAATGAATCCATAATTCAACAACAATTTCATGATATGTGGATCCAAAGGATGATCCACAAATATTTGAAGTTAAAAACTCAAATCAAAACATCAAATGAAAAAGGATACCACCTCACTTTATTAGTTAGATTAACCCTTACTTCCATTGAACTTGAAATGAATCACAATTCTCTCATCATAAATCAAGAAGATAAAAGATAGAAATTGAAATTGAAAATCAGGTGGTTGCATAAAAAAACCAGAATCTATTATATTATGAATTGATTTTTTTACTGTTGAAAACATCATAATCTATTTTTCTTCCCAACGCGATGCTTATTCCAGAAGAATCACACATTCCTTTTGTTTTGCATCTATTTCCTTTCGTTTTTTGCTTAGCCGTTAATCTGTTATATATGATATATCAATTATTTTATACTAATATAATAAGGTATATAAAAATGAGGCCCTTGAATAAATATTAACATCTTATAACAAAAAAATTGGATTAAACTGAATTGTTAATAAATTGACAAAAAATGAATAAATTCACTTGAAATATGTGAATAAAAATGATACTAGTACTTTTAATAAAATTACGATTTTTTTTCTTATAGATCGATATAGTCTATGAACTAGGAAACCGAAAATGTCAATATCACGATAAGAAACCAAATTTGTTGGACTTTGAATCTCAATTATTGACTTAGAGGTTGAGCAACATAGGTTTGCTTTTCTTGGACACTCCACATGCAAAATGGAATTTTAAGTCTTACTTCATTTGACCAATTCCTTCTTTCACTTCGACAACTCATAGACTATTCTTTAAAAAGTTGATCTAAGATATAATAAAGAATATTAAAAAGTGTTTGAGATTATGTTTTAAAAGATATAAAAAAGTACTAAGAGGGTATTTGGCAGGTAAAGTTAACTAATAAAAAATAATATTTGATAAAAAATAGTTAATAAGTTAATTGAGAAATAAAAGATATTATAAAATATCATATAGGTTCGAAGTTTAGTAAGCTTGATCATTTTTTGGTTTCGTACATGATTCTCGAGGGCTTTCCTAATCTTACTGGTATGGTTTTAGAAAAGAAACTTCCGGATTATCGACCTATTTTTTTGTTGGAGCACACTGCGGATTTTGGGCCTTCTCCTTTTCGGTTATTTCATTCTTGGTTCGAGCTGGGATGGTTTTGACCAAATTGTGCGAGATTCTTGGTCTCAGTAATTTGTGGCGTTGGACAATCTGTGGGTTATATTTAAGAAAAAGTTACGGTTTTTTAAATCTAATCTACGAGTTTGGAATTCTACTACTAGAAGTCGGTTAGAAGCGATGAGGCAGGATATTCAGTCTGATATTCTTGATGTGTGTCTTATGGATGATGATGGAGATTCGGTGGTTAGAGAGCATCGACTTAATTTGGTTAAGGATATGTCAGAGTTGCATCATCTTTCTAGGGTGGAGTTAGCTAAAAAGGCTAAGGTCCAATGGAGCATTGGGGGAGATGAAAATTCTAGTTTCTTTCATGGAGTTTTGAAGTGTAAGAGATGTTAGTCGGTGATTCGAGGTATCATAGTTAATGGTGTGCGAGTTGATGAACCAGCTACGGTGAAAGAGGAGTTTCGTTTATTCTATCGTTCCTTATTCTTCAAGCAACTTGGCAGGAGGTCTGTGACTGATCCGAACCTTTTTCGTTTCCTTTCTGATTCCCAGCTTTAGTTTTTATAGGCTCATTTCTCTTATGATGAGATTAAGACATCGGCGTGGGGTTGTGGTTCGATAAAAGCTCTTGTTTTGATGATTTTTCTTTCGAGTTCCTTAAGCGTTACCAAGATCTTATTGCTAACAATGTGGTTGCTTTTGTTTTGTTTTTCCAAGGGAAGTCTTCTGTCCCGAAGGGCTACAATGCTTCTTTTTTCACGGTTATTCCCAAGATTTGTGACCCCAAATCAGTTTCTGATTATAGAGATATTAGTTTAATTGGTTTCCAATACAAAAGTATTGGTAAACTTTTGGCTATTAGGTTATCGGAGGTTATTGGTAGTCTTGTTAGTTTGGAGCAGTCTGCTTTTATTAAAGGCAAACGGATTTTTGATGGCCATTTCCTTATGAATTAGGAAGTAGCTTGTAGTAAGGCTTATAAAAATCCCCTAATGATCTTTAAGGTGGATTTTTAGAATGCCTATGATTCTCTTTCTTGGGAGTACCTCTTGGAGATCAAACTCTAATTGCGGGGTTGTGAACCCTATTTAAGGACCTTAACCCTTTGAGGCGCTTCTTATGTTCAACCTCCACTCCCATAGCTGTAACGCCCGCAGATTCGGACTAGTCAATTAAGATATATTTAGCGTTAAAAATGACTTTTTGATAGAAGATTATTTAGGATAAATAACCTTAACAAAAGTTATAGTGTATGTGAAAAGGGTTCCGTACATATAAAGAACACTAAAATCTGACTTCGTATGAATAAGTTATGCTTCTTCGAAGTTTCACGATTAAACCAGCACGACTCTGCGTATCGTAAAAAGTGAATTTTCGATAAATTACTTTTTAGCCTAAGTGATCTAAACGAAAGTCGTAGTAGTAGTAGTTAAACCGAGAGCGTGCATATAAAGAATGTCCAAATTTGACTTCATAAGAGGAAGTTATGATTTTTCGAAGTTTCAGCGCAGCAGTATACAACTAAGAAACCGAAGTAGAGATCGGTTAATTATTAGGAAAAACAATCTAAACGAGAGTTGAAGATCTCGTCCACATGGTTTCATCGATATAAAGACAGTCGAAAACGGATATCATATGAGAAAGTTATGAATTTTTAATAGACTTTAACAGTATAAGCCTGTTAAAAATATAACTTTAAAAATAAAATCAAAATTAGCCGACAAAGTCTAAATGAAAATTATAGATCTCCTTGATAGCTTTCCAAGGATATAAAAAACGTCGAAAATGGAGCTCGTATGAATAAGTTAAGACATTTAGAAAATTTTGAAATTCGTGCGCGCACGAAGTGCTCATCGCGCCATGATGACGTGGCACTATCCAGGGGCGACCCGTGGTAGTGTTAGACGCCCCTCTCTCTTCCTAGACAAGGCGACGCGACCCATGGAAATGGCGACATGTGGCACCATGAAATGATGGCACGTGGCGGCTTCTAGAAGAAGGAGGTGTGGACGGATCAACATGCGACACGTGACACGAGCTGGGAGGAGCCAGCAGGACAAGAGTACGCAGCGTGCCTCTTGTCTGTGCACGGCGCGCCTTCCAAATGACTATATATAGCTTCCGAATTTCCTTCTTACTTCCTCACCAATTCACCAAAACTCTCTTAGTCGATTTCCCTTCTCAAGATCCGACTTTTTCGGGTTTTTGAGTACTCTAGCGGGACTCTGGCATAATTAGGAGTCCGACAGGAAAGAGTACCCGGGCTGGAGTCCTGTCCGTGTGTATTTTCCTGGTTCTTGCTTAAAAGCTCTGCAAGTTAAGCTACACTCTATCGCTTTCAGTGTAACTTATATTTATTGTCATAAGTCGTTATTATGAACCTATAAATAAAAATTATCAGTAATTCCAAGTCGTTTACTGATTGATCTACTTACGGTAGAGGTGTCTGTTGT